TGGTGGGGGGTGGGGGGGGGGGGGATGGCTTTGGGCAGCGCTCCTCAAGAGAGGCATGCTCAGAGACTGCCGTGGCACCTACGAGGCCCCTCTGGGCTGGGCTCAAATGTCATGGTGCATCTGAGACCCCAGCCCAGAGGGGCTCATGAGAGAGGGAGGGCCACCCTCAGCAAAAGACGCTAACAAGGCACCAACCCCCACTCCCACCTGATGACTTTTAAAAAATCAATCTCTCTCTCTCTCTCACACACACACACACACATACACACACACAGAGAGAGAGAGAGAGACAGAGAGAGAGTTGTCCTCATTATTCTCCAGGCAGAACACAATTTTGGCGGTTTGGAAGTTTAGGAAAGCACATTTGGCGAAAGATGAATGCAAGGGCCTCTTAAACACTAAGCTCAGGATGAAATGAAATGTTTGAGCCTCTCCCAGGCTCCCTTTAGCAGGTCTCTGTTATGATTTCGGCCCCAACGCACAATTAACATGCGGAGACTGTAGCAAATCCAAGTTGCTCATCTTTTATGGTTCCTAATGACTCTGCCATCTGCACAACAGCTCCGATGAGGTGCGGCTGACGACTAAAAGCGACAGGTAAGACCCGAGCAAAAACCACCCTGCACCCCCACTTTTCCTTTTGGCTTAGAATAAGCAGGGATGGGAGTATCCGGCCAGAGGCTAAGAGGAAGAAAGTGGCCACCCCCTCCCTGACTAACACTAAGCTCTTCCTGATCTCATTGCTCATGGGCTCAACAGCTGACAGAGACCCTTCTGTAGATCGGTCGCCCCTCAGGGCTGAGGCAGCTGCTCCCCCCCCCGTCTCTGAGCACGGGAGTGGGTGCGATGCCCCAGCTGCCGAGGCAGAAGACCCACCCCACCCCACCCCCAGTCCCCACGGAGGAGAATGTCGGAATGGGGCAGCCCCCTTCCAGCCCAACAAATCAGGAGCTGGAGCGCACATGGCTTGTTCTGGGCAGAGGGCTGGATCCACCCCCTGCTCTTTCCCCAACACCTGCATAGGGTGCTGAAAAACGCAACCCGGCCAGCACGGGCCTGCTGTGAACTTGGGGGGGGGGGCTGTTGCAGCTCGGCCAAGGGAGAGCAGAAGGAGCCCCCCTTCCCTCTCCAGGTGGTGACACAACTGAGGCCCGGGCGGACAGGCCTTCCCAGGGCCGGCCCCTGCCTCGGCCAGGCCTGCCTGGAGGAAGAGGAGGCTGGCTGGCCCCTGGTTGCCACTTCAGCAGCCAAGGAAGGACTCCCCCTGGAGTCCACCTCTTTCTTGTACGGCGCCTGGCAATCATCTTGTCCTGTCATCTGTACCCTTGAGATTTTAACGGCTGCCAGGAAGGAATCAATGTCTCCCATCAGCCAACCCAACAGAGCAGGCTAGGGAGCTGTCAGGGGAGTCTCATCCAGAGGGAGAAAAGCACATCTTTCCATTTGGGCAAGAGGGAAAAGGGCAGGGGGTGGGAAGTGCCCTGTCACCGTGGATGCCTCTCCCTCTGCAGCCCATCCATTAACACATACCCCCCCAAGCCGTAGCTAAAGGATTGCATGGGATTTAGCTGGGCTTTTCTGCCTGGCATTCTTAGATCAAGGTCACCGAGCCAAGCCTCCCATCTGGGCCAGGGGGATCCCAGAGTCTATTTTCTAGGTCACCCTGCAGGGCAGGCCTGCCCAGCCGCACAGAAGCCCCTGCAAGCCTGAACACAGCAGCTCCCGACTGCCTTCTGCTTGAGAAGAGGCGTCTCTTTTCTCCCTACCTGGGAAAGGA